GCAGGAGGAGGGAGAGGAGAAGCCCTGCAGTGCCTGGAAGGGTGAAGCGCAGCCCGGGAGCGGCTCTCCCCACGGCACGGGTACCTGAGCGAGGGGTTCTTCTCCTTGGCTTTGGGCTGCATGGCTTGCTTGGGCGACTGGCCGACGGTGAAGGCGAAGGTGCCGCGCACGTGCTGGGGGTAGCGCAGCTTGTGCAGGTGCTTCCTGAAGACCTCAGCGCTGTCTGAAGCCACCTCCTCGTCGAAGCCGATCTTCAGCAGCTGCAGGAAGAGCAGAGAGCAGGCTGAAGGGTCGGTCACGGCGTGCTCAGCGAGGGAAGGGCTCTTCCCACGGCACAGGGCAGAGCTCAGGTCCCGGTCGGGAGCCGGGGCTGCAACGGGCACAGGCCAGGCTGGGAGGCTGCCCCGTCTGTCCCCCCGTGCCCGTTACTCTGTCCCCCCATGCTCCTTCCTCCCAGAGACCGCCCCGTACCCGGCACTGCTGCTCCTGGGACGTCTCCAGCGCCCGGTCACTGCAGCTCTGAGCACCTCTAAAGGTCCCTTCCAACCCAAAGCACTCCATGACTCTGTAAGGCGGGCAGGAAGGAGCAGCCAGCACGCTCCAGGCGCTCTCCTCCCAGCACTGCTCCACCTCCACAGGTCTCTCAAAGATGTAAAACGCTCAGTAACTACTCGCCCTGTGACATCTCTCCCTGCTGTGTTTCTCTCCCTCAAGACCTGCTGCCAGGCTTCAGAGCTGGAGCTGTGGGAGCGGGGCCAGAGGAGGCCCCAGCCATGATGGGAGGGCTGGAACCCCTCTGCTGGGAGGAGAGGCTGGGAGAGCTGGGGCTGCTCAGCGTGGGGAGGAGAAGGACAAGGGGAGACCTGAGAGCAGCTGCCAGGGCCTGGGGGGGCTGCGAGAGAGCTGGAGAGGGGCTGGGACAAGGGCAGGGGGTGATGGGACAAGGGGGGATGGCTTTGGGCTGAGAGAGGGCAGATTTAGATCAGATCTAAGGCAGGAATTCTTCCCTGTGAGGGTGGTGAGGCCCTGGCCCTGGCTGCCCCGAGGAGCTGTGGCTGCCCCCTCCCTGGCAGGGTTCAAGGCCAGGCTGGACGGGGCTGGGAGCACCCTGGGCTGGGGGAAGGGGTCCCTGCCCAGGGCAGGGGGTTGGAATGAGATGGTGTGTAAGGTCCCTTCCTACCCAAACCATTCTGTGATTCCATGGACCACTGCCTACTCCTTCCTCTGCGAGGAACCTCCGGCTCCGTCCCCTCAGCTGCGCCGTCGCCTGCTCCAGAGGTTGTCTTTGGACCCCTCAGGAGAAGCACCCCCAAACCACGTCAGCCCGGGCAGCGAGTGCCTCGTCCCAGGTGACGGTGCCAGGCGCGGCCGCGTACCTGCCGGGTCCCCCCAGCAACGCGCTGCTCAGCCCCGACAGCGCAACGCCAAGGAGCAGCCCCCAGCCCCAGGTGGTCTCACCTGGAATGTGCAGGAGCGCAGCTGCAAGCCCTCCTGGATGAACGGATCCACCTGCGCCTGGATGTTGAACTTCTTCTCTTTGGTCAGCGAGGCGATGGGGAAGGACCGGATCACCACCTGCTCCCCCACTGGGCACAAGCACGGGAACAGGTCAGCCACATCCCACCGCCTCGGCCCGGCCTCTCCGGACCACCCTTGGTGGCCACCATGGAGAGCCCCGTAGGATCTAGTGGCCAGAAACCGGCCAGACACACCACAGCCAGCCCATGGTGACGTGTAGATGACGCCTGGGACGGGCGTGAGTAATGGATCATCTACCAAAGGCGGGGAGCAAGGGCAACCACCTCCTTGGTAGGACTGGGAGCAACCATCGGCCGTGCGGAGGTTGCAGCAGCCCCAGCGAGGCCCAGTGCTGGCCGGTCCCTCACCCAAGGCAACCCACCCAGACCCCTGCCAGCAGCAAGCCACCGCCTCCCCGGCACGACCAGCCCCGCAGACAGCAGACGTGGTGCACGCGAGACCCCTACCCAGAGGGTCCGTGGGAGTGCCTTTGAAGATGATGCGGTAAGTGGTGAGGAAGATGGCTCCTTCCGCGGGGAGGAGGGGCGGACCACCGATATTCCCTCCGGCAGCTTCTTCCCGTCCATCGGGCATGAGGTACACGCGGAGCCCCTCCATCACACACTCCTCACCCACCTGCAGGTTGGGGCGCAGCAGCTTTGGCTACGGGGATGTACGATGGGCAGCTCAGACCCGTGGAGACCGCGGAGGGGGACGCGACAGCCCCACGCGGCCCCAGCACCTTCCCCCCACCGCAGCGGGCCGGCTCCTGACCTTCTGGATGGGAGGAAGCCTCTTGCTCTCCCTGTGCACAGCGTCCAGCGTCTCTATGTGCATCTGCACAATATCTGCGGACAAATATGGAGTTAGCGAGCGCAGGGGAAGTCCTGTCAACCCGCAGCACCGTGCGTGCCTTCTCCTGGCCCTCCCACCGCTTCTCGTTGAAGCTCCTCTTGAGCAGACCCCTGAGCTGACCTGGAAGGGTCCCCAGCGCGAGCCCACGGCCGCCCGCTCCCCAGCGCTGCCGCAACGCGCGTTACCGGGGATCATGACGTGCAGCCCCTTGAGGTGCTCGTTGGTGACTCCGCTCTCCGTGCAGACTTTGTCCACAAAGCGGTTGATGAATCGCACCACGTAGTTGGCCACGTCCGAACTCTCTGCATCCTCAAAGCCACTTTCTGTGTCGTAGCTCTCAGCCACGCTGCCGGCAATGCTGCCATGCAGGAGGAGAGAAGAGTTACCCCACAGCATCTCTCTCCTCTGCTGTAACCCACACCAGGCAGAGCCCAAAGGACTTTCCACTCTTGATAGGAACCTAGGAGAGCTTCCACTCTTGGTATGAGATGTCCCCAGGCGCTACGACCTGCGCCAACCCTGCTGGCAGCCGCATGACCCCGATGCCCACGGCACCGCGGAGCTCCGTCCCCAGCTGAGTTTGCTCCGGTCTCCCTGCAGCGCGGCGCTGCCCGGCTCCCCGGCCCTGCTTACCTGTTGGTGACGAAGCTGTTGCTGACGCTCTCCACGTCGCCCAGCCCAGAGCTGCGCAGCAGGCGGTTCTTGCTGGTGTCGAGGGGCAGCAGCAGGTAGCTCATGCGGTTGGCGTAGTGGATGGCCTGGCTGAAAACGGTGCTCTCCTCCTTCTGGATCAGCTCCTGCTGCTTCTCCGGCGCATGGTGGGCCAGAGTCTCAGCTGCTCCGATGCTATCTCTAGGGCAGACCTGGCTTCCTGGGGCCCATCCCTGCTCTCCTGAAGGAGTTGGAGGGAGACATCAGTCATCTCCATGGACGGGAGACCCGCCAGCCCTCACCCCACGGCTCCCACGGGGATGTCCCAGAACCAGCTGCACAGTTCGGCATCGCGGTCAGCCCGCAGACCTCAGGGAGAGCCGCTTCTGCAGAGCGTTCTGCACCCCCTCACCTCGTCCGCGTGGTTCTCCTCGTTGTTGTCCAGGTAGAGGGCGCGGATGTGGTTCTGCACGTCGCAGTAGAACATGGCCTCCCAGAACTGGATGTTGGTCCACACCACGTGCTCCTGCACACAGCTGTAGGCAAACTGCGTGATGCCCGGGCCCAGCTTCTGAGGACACAGAAGGGGGGAGAAGAGTCTCACACACACGCGGCCTCTGGCCAGGCCCTCTCCTCCAGGTGATCCCTGCCCTAGGCTGTGGCTGGGAAAGCCACCGCACCCTGGGCTGGCAGGAGGGACACCTCGCATCAGAGCTCCTCCAAGCACTGCTCGCAAACCCTGCCCAGATCCGCCCAGCGCCCACCCAGAGCCCCGCGGGGCCTCACGCCACAGGCGCTTTGCGGGAGGCGGAATCTTGTCACAGCCCAGCTCGACCCACAGACCAAGCTGGCACCTGAGGGCAGCCCCGGTTTCCGAGCACCCCTCTGCAGGTGTTCCAGGGAGCCTGGGGCCCTGAGAGCGGCACAGCCAGCCTGGCCACGCTCCCAGTGGCTGGAAGCTACTGGGCAGGACCCCTCACTCTGAGAAGCCCCGAGGGGACCCTCAGCCCTTCAGTCCACTGGGCTCTGCAGCCTCCAGGGAGCTCCGAGTCGGCGAGGGCCACAGAATCACAGAATGGTCGGGGCTGGCAGGGCCCTCTGTGGGTCACCCAGTGCCACCTCCTGCCAAAGCAGGGTCACCCAGAGCAGGGGGCACAGCACCACGTCCAGCTGGGGCTGGAATATCTCCAGAGAAGGAGACTCCACAGCCCCTCTGGGCAGCCTGGGCCAGGGCTCCGTCACCCTCAGAGGGAAGAAGTTCTTCCTCGGCTTCAGCTGGA